ATGAAAAATTTCTAAAGATCACAATATGAATATGCTCACCGCCACTAAACTGCACACTTAAGAATGAGTAAGATGGTAAATTCTATATTATGTGTTGTTTTATCACAATAAAAAACAAACAAACCAAAAAACCAAGAGCCTTTAAAAAAAGGTTTTAAGAAATGGTAGCAATACTGAAAAAGTATATTGTTTCCAATGTTAGCTACTTGGACTTTGCTGTTAAAAACAGTTACATTATTTTATTATATATTTTGCATTCTATCTAAATAGGAAAAATGAAAAAAGCAACAGGATCTAATTTTTTATGTATTTAGAAGCAAAGCAAGTTTCCATAAGAATCTATTTTCACCTGAGTATGCTGTCATTTAAAATTTCCTTAGTATTAAGAGAAAGAAGAGTTCTAGCAAAATCCAGCTGCTCAAAAATCTTGAGCATGTGCTCCTACTTCCTTCAGGTCTTTACTTGAGTGTCACCTTCCCAGGGAGGCCATCCTTCCCTACTCCTCACCTTCGTCCCTGTTTTATTTTTCTCCATAGCATTTGTCATGTTTCCACTTCCCATACAATTTATTTTTTTGTTTGTTAGTTTATAGTCTATCTCTACATTATTGGAGTGGCACTTTCTTTCACATTGCATAAGGGAAACTCGTGAATATAGACTCTCGGAGACTTGATGTCCAGACTTAAAGAGAACTGAGCAGCTTCTGTCATAGCAGACCCAAACAACATTCATTCATTTATTCAAAAAAATGTTTATTTGAGCACCTACTTTGTGCCAAGCACTGTTCTAGACAATAAGAATATAAAAATTCCTGCCTCCATGAAGCTTACATGAAATCATTTCAAAGCAGCACATACTTATTTTGTTCAAGGTATTTTGCTCACCACTGCAGAGAATGGAAAGCTAAGACACAAACTTGAACTTAAACTTGCAGTCCTTTCCCTACTGCCAATCAAGTGTGCAGATAATGACAACAGGAAAGGAAAAGGACAATACTGTCAAAGAGCCACAAAAAAGTGCTCTGAGGACTGCAGGGGCTTTGGACTGTAAACTCACTGAGGGCGTGACCCAGTGGTCTTGTTTTTCAACTCCTGTCAGTTCATATTATTTCGTATTATAATGCATAGCACAGCTTTCTTTACTCAAATGAAGGGTGGACAGAATTGACAAGGGAGGGCTAAAATATGGATCTCTGAGCCCACCCGTTGAGATCTGCAGTTACAGGTTGTGGGGGGTGGATCTAGTGACTCTGATGTCCACCTGAGGTCACTGAACCTCACGTGGACAGCACTGGGGATCTGCGCAGGCAGAGAGCGGCAGTGACACATTAACGAGCCAGGAAAGCAAGCAGTTCTGAGTGCATAAAGATGTTCTCTGCTGCTGTCCTCCACGACAGGGATTCACGGCCTTCCCCAGAATTTGATTCAGAGTCACACGGGCCTTCCCACACGGGAGGCAACTGGACCCACAGCACAGAGGAAGTCAGTGGAAAATCTGAGACTAAAACCTAGACTCCTTGTCTTTAGTTCTTTGTTTTTCAAAGCAAGATCCGTGGGCCAGGGGCGGTAGCGCCACCTGGAACCTTGTTAAAACTACAGGATCTCAGGCTGCACTCCAGACCTGATGAGTCACAATGTGTGTTTTAACAAGATTCCCAGGTGATCTGTATGCATATTCAAGTTTGAAAAGTACTCTAGAGCATGTCTCTAGGCGTGAAATTACTGGATCACAATGTATGAGTTCTTCAATGATATCAGATAGTGCCAAATTTCTCTCCTAAGTATTGCACCAGTTTACCTTCCCACATTATCCTTTCTAATTTTCTGTGCGTCTACTTATAACCTAAAGTCATTTCCTATTGCTCTTTTGAATACTTTCAATCCATTTGCCTTACAAAGGTTCCATTTCCTAAGAAGGTATCCTCAAACTCTATCCCTAAATTTCCTTATTTGTATTGTTACCCACTAAACTGTGATAAAAGAGTTACACGGTCAAACAAATTTGGGAACCACAGGTTAATCAAAGTAAAATAAGTTCTTTAAGACTTCTCAGAGATCTCAATATTAGGAGCCTCTAAAAGTGGAATACATTTCAAGCATTTCCCAAAACTTATTCTATCATTTACCGTTTTTCCTCCATGGATCATCTATGAACATATCTGAATAAACTAACATTTCAAGGAACACAGATAGGAAATCCGTGTTAATTTATATAGACTTCCCTCCTTTTTTAAACAAAAATCATTTAAAAAATAAAAATAAATTTCAATTCCCTCTCTTAGAATCCCCAGATCATCTCATACTTAAAAGACTCTCATTTGAGCTACTTCTCAGTGGTTCTGTGTGTAAAATAACACCCCTGGAAAAGAAAAATACATTTTGCTCAGTTGAATTTCTCCATCTCCATTTTTCTTCATGTTTTCAGTAAGAAGAAGTCAGTATGGAATGATTACGTCCAAAATTCCAAACAGTTTTTCTTTCCTCTAAAATAGTTGAGGAGAGGGGCCGGCCCCATGGCTTAGCGGTTAAGTGCACGCGCTCCGCTGCTGGCGGCCCGGGTTCGGATCCCGGGCGCGCACAGATGCACCGCTTGTCCGGCCGTGCTGAGGCTGCGTCCCACATACAGCAACTAGAAGGATGTGCACCTATAACATACAACTATCTACTGGGGCTTTGGGGGGAAAATAAATAAATAAATAAAATCTTTAAAATAAAAAAAAAATAAAATAGTTGAGGAGAGCAAATTGGCACCTGCCCTGAGACCTCAGAAGAAAAACCACCATCTTGACTCCAGTGTCCACACAGATGTCCAGCTAAGACAGATGGCCCCTCATCTCCCTTCAGGTTTCCCTGAAGAAAAGTTATGGGTCACCTCTGGATAGTGAAAATCACACATGTTCTCTATTTCATTCTTTGTGCTTTTCTTTAGTTTTCTCCATGAGCATGTATTACTTTTGCAATTAGAAAATATAATTTTAGTTCTAAAAGGCTTAATTTGAAAGGAAGAAAACAAGTCACAGAGCAAAAAAATTTAAATCCATCTGCATTATTCTATCAAAATACATACAAAAGTATCAATGACTCTCAATTAGGGTGAATAGGTCTTTGCAAGATAACTGTCTAAAAATTGATTATGTAAAAATTAACTATATGATTAAAAGTTAATTCTTTAAATAAGTCATTAAACTTTAAAATTTTTATGAATGCAGAACTAAACTTTGTGTAGGCTTCAGCTTTAAGAGAGAGATTGGTGAACTGAAAGAACCACACCTGGGTCTGAGCCCCTCTTCCTTTTTTTTAATTTTTTTTTTGTTTGTTTATTTATTTTTCCCCCAAAGCCTCAGTCGATAGTTGTACGTCACAGCCGCACATCCCTCCAGCTGCTGCATGTGGGACACGGCCTCAGCATGGCCTGAGCCCCTCTTCTGCTGGCCTCGCCTGCTGCAGTCTCCTGGTCTGTGAGACGGGAGAGTATCTACACCATAGACGGTAATAGTGAGGACTGTCTAAGAAAATATATATAAAAAGGCTTCTCCACATCATACGTCATCACGGAAACACAAATTAAAACAACTTACTAGAACGGCCAAAATACAGAACACTGCCAACACCAAATGCTGGCGAGGATGTGGAGCAACAGGGAACTCTCATTCATTGCTGGGGGGAATGCAAAATGGTACAGCCACTTTGGAAGACAGTTTGGCAGTTTCTTATAAAACTAAACATCCTCTTACTATACAACTCAGCAATCGTGCTCCTTGGCATTTACCCAAAGGAGGTGAAAACTTATGTCCTCACAAAAACCTGTACACGGACGTTTACAGCAGCTTTATTCATATTGCCAAAACCTGGAAGCAATCAAGATGTCCTTCAGTAGGTGAGTGGATAAATAAACTGTGGTCCATCCAGACCATGGAATATCATTCAACGCTGAAAAGAAATGAGCTATCAAGCCACGAAAAGACATGGAGGAACTTAAATGCATATCACTAAGTAAAAGAAGCCAATCTGAAAAGGCTACATACTGTATGGTTCCAACTATATGACGTTCTGGAAAAGGCACAACCATGGAGACAGTAAAAAGTCCAGTGGTAGCCAGGGGTTAGGGGATAGGGAGGGATGAACAGGCAGAGCACAGAGAATTTTTAGGGCAGTGAAAACAACACCATAATGATGGATACATGTCACTATGCATTTGTCCAAACCCACAGAATGTACACCACCAACAGGGAACCCTCATGTCAACTATGGACTCTGGGTGATGACGACGAGTCACAGTAGGCCCACCCACTGTAACAAATGTACCACTGTGGCAGGGGTGTTGATAATGGTGGAGGCTATGCATGCGTGGGGTTAGGTGGTCTACGGGAAATCTCTGTACCTTCTGCTCAGTTTTCCTGGGAATCTAAAACTGCTCTAAAAGAGAAAGTCTACTAAAAAATAAAAACCCAAAGCTCTTAACACAATGCCTGCTATATACATAGTAAGTGCTCAATAAATTGAAACTATTGTTATTAAAACAGTTACATTACAAATACCCTAAATGCTTCCACAAGAAATAAAGAACTATTGTTACTACTGTAATGATACTAATTACTAAGTCAGTTTCAACATTTATCCTGAAAAGATAAAAAGCTTCCTTCTCAAAGAGGTAACCCTTGAGAATCCATGACATGACCTGGACAAATGATTCTAAATCTAATACAGTATTTTTCAAAGTTTCACATGAAATACAGAAATGTGAAATGATTAAGGATTCAATCACAGCCAGTTACCTAATAAGTGCAAGTTTTACAGGCTCTTATGGTCATTAAGAAAAAGAAAAAACTTCAACTAAGGGAAAAAGACATGCATCTCAACAAACAAATGGTAATACTAAAAATAAATACAATCATAGAATTATAATGTGGAAATGATACGGTCTTAGTGGAGGTAGAATGTCTACCTATAAAGCATTAATTTCTAGGAGGAAAAATAAAATCTATAACCTTTTTTGTTTACCTGGATGAGTCATGGTGACTGGCTCCTCTTTGGATTTATTATTGTAGATGACTACAGCAACTGCATTGTGGAAAGCAGCCCGTGATATTTTCTCTTTAAATGTGCAATTTCCCCTCTGCAGCAAAGCAATCCACTGTTTGATATTAGGAGGGACAGAGAACCGTGTTTGAGGATCACAGCCCAGATGATCAGCAACTAAACAGAAGAGAAAAGAAAAAACTAATTTTTTCTCAAGAGAAATGAAATCAAGTCTTAATCGAAGTGTTCCACTGTCCTCTGAACACTCCACAGCCCTGAAGCACTTCGAGCAGCTCTCTGCCAGCAGAGCTATGAATACACCTGCAACAGACAACACAATACCTCTGAATCTGTATCTGCAGAGGGAGAGACGTGCCACTGAATTGTTACCTGTGATACAAATGAAAACACTGAAAAACTCTGTTTAACTTTACAGATTAACAAAAATAAAAAAGACTGATAATATCCAGTGTAGGTTAGTGAAGAGAGGAGGAAGAAAAGGCAAACACAGAACACCCCCAGAATCCCAGGTGACTGATCTACTCCTGACTTCTGCTCATTCATCTGCACTTACTCATCTCTCCACACCCGCCCCCCCCCCGCCCCCGCCGCCATCACCACCACCACCACCAGGAAGAGATCAACTTTGCTTGGGGTAAATGAGGAAGCCAAACTAATCTTTGGTTCAGTTACCAAGTGGTCTTGTTGAAATTCAAGCACGCTTGAACAAATTTCTTAATAAGTATCTAAGGAAATTAGAAAAGTTCAGTTTTGGCCTATATTTGAAAGTTTAAATAGCTAAAATAACATGAAACTAGAATAAATAGATTATTCCTCTAATTTACATTTATTGGTAAAAATTACAATTCCAAATTAGGATACATGTATTAACTTAACTATATCCACCTGTTTAACAAGACACATGAAGACACCAAGACTATCCCTTGGGACTACAAATTACATGGTCATCATCCTAGATTTGGGGGGACAGTTTGTCTCAAATACTGTAAGTACATTTGAATCTGTCAGGGCAAAGTCCTCAACTTTTGATTCTGCAAATATGGTCATCATAGCTCTGGCACCCTTTGCAAAGGTTAAGAAGCCGCCCCTGCCTGGCGGCTCTTCCCATTCCCCACCCTCACATTTATAATCGGTTAAAATGAAAAGGAAGGGCAGTCCAGAGAAGGAAAGAAGTCAAAAAAGGTAAGTATGAAGACTATCAGTGTGTCCCAAGCCTCCTGGAGCCAGTCACTGCCAGGGCTGTGCGGGCTGGGCAGGGAGGGTGGGAGAGGGGAACACAGCACACAAGGGTAACACTAGAAGCAAATAAATAAGAAGAATATTCAGTATTAATCAATTACAAAGGGTATAGAAAGACGACACCAGTGGGGAAATGTGTGCTTTACATACTCATGGAAGCACACTGCTTAGCAAAAGAAATGAAATGTTAACACTACTTAAAGGAACTATAAAATGTAGACATGCCACTGACTTCAGAGAAATGTTCCATCTATCATTCCCATTGAAATAACATCTTTCTCTGAATTCTCTTATTATCGTGGTGAAGGATTGCAATGAGAGCGTGTTTGCTACCAGCGGTCTCCTAACACATAGTAAGTGGGGTAAGTGATTTCACAATTCATCATGACTGATACTGTGTGCAACTACACTCACCCTCTTCCTTAAATAGTTTCGGTAATCTGAAACCTAGTCCTTTCTCAATCAGACTAAACAGAGAGAAAAGCCAACGACATGCTTTTAGTAGTCAACTACTGAAAGACAATCAGGCATTGCAGAACTCTGAAATCCTAAAGCAGACCGTTTATGTCTTCAGTGATATCTGTTTCAGAGATAATTATGCTGTTTTAAAACATAAGCATTTAAGCGATGGGTTATGATAAACTCATTGTCTTGGGAAAACTTCCAATACTGTATCTAAACAGGGAGCAATCAAAGAACTGGTTTTCAGTGTTCCGTTTGTTATTTTTCAAAACACACTGCTACACAAACCCTGAAAAAAATGCAGAATCAAGAATATCTAAAGAGACCTGTACGCTTGTCTCCTGCGAAACATTCATTTGCTTTTCTGGGACTTATCCCATCCCCTCTATGATCTCAGAGCATTCACAGGGTAGTAAAGAGGAAACAACACAGTTATGGAACCAGCAGGACCTGGGATCCAAATTGCAGATCAACCACTTACTAGCTGAGCAACTGTCACAGGGTCAATTCTCTGATCTTCAATTTTTACTAATTTATAAAGACTGAAATACAATTCTTACCTCACAAGAGTTACATATGTGAAAAAGTCTATAATAATTCCTCTACTCGAGTGCTTAAAAAATTAATTCCCCTTCCTTTAGTTTTATGAGTGTCATCCCGCCCTGTCCTAGTGATCTGGTTTGGGGCCATGGGGGTTCGCGGCGTGAAGTACAAACACCCACAGCTTGGCAGCACACTTCCACCCCACAGTCCAGCTCCTAACAGCTACTGCTCCCCAGTCTCATTCACTCGCCGTTGCTCGACAGTGTCACTGCCGACTTTGAAGAACAGCAGTTCAGTAACAGTCACAATGTCTAAGACCGAAAAGACACAGCAAGGGTGCAACCACAGAGCAAAATCTACCAAACACACTGAAGGAGAGCTTTAAAATTCTCTTAGAGGAATCCCCACCCACTAAGAACAGAGTCTATGAACAACCGATGATCAAAACAAATTCCAGCAACAGACTGTATCAGCAAAAGAATGTCCCTGTTCCCCAAATTCACCCCATCATGATCCATAAAAGGTCTCTGAAAACATTTATATCAGAATATGCAATAATAAGCAAGAAAAAGATATTCAAGTTCCTGTTCAAAGAAGTAGTTTTCGTTATTCAGAAAAAGAAAATAAGGGATTTTCATAATCACTTAATACTGTAGTATGCTTATTTTATCTATTTATCCCTTCCTATAATTAAACAAATAACTTGAACAATGAAAACCATGTTAACAGCTCTAAAACAACTCCCAAAGAGGACTGATGGCTGTCTGTGATTAAGTGCCACTACTTCAACATTTAATACCAGTTGTTTATACTTGAAGCAACTTGTTAAGTGCAGACACAGTATGACATAAAATATCTGTGTAATTATGAACCATTAAAATCTGTCAATAGCAATTTTGCTCAAATTCAAAATCATTTTACTTCCGATTTTTTTGACCTGGCAAATTCAGAAGACGGCATCACCTCTGACTTCTCTGCATTTATTAGCTATGGTGTCAGGAAGTTATTAGAACTTATCATGAAAATGTGAATTTATAGATGATATAAAATATTGTATTGCAATATCTTAGCTTTGTCAATTATACCTCAATAAAGCTGAAAAAGTATTATATTATGGAGAAACTTAACTTCAATTTTTTTTTCTGTATGGCCTTTTCTGTTGAGTCCAGAAATAGTAATGAGACTTTTATTTACTCCTTGATAAGAACCAAACAATTCTTGACAGGAACAATTATGGAATCCTCACCTCAATGAATATTAACTTAAACACTCAGAAACATACTAAGTACCAAAGAGAAACACAATGGAACCGGACGCCCTGGTCTTGAATCTTAAATAACCTGCAAATGTATTGAGGAGGCACGCCTGTCACAGAAATGAAAGAGCCACAGAGTAGCATCAAGTACCAACATGAAGCATGCTGAGAAACTCAGAAAAGCAACATAACAGTACAGATTTAGGGGGAGCTGGAACCTAAATGGAATCCTGGAAAACTGCTCAAGCGGAAAGGAGAGGGGTGCAGAAGTGACCAGCATAAGAACACAGAACAAAGATTAAGCCCTTCTCTTGAACTCTTGCGAAAATCAAATAAGATGATATATAACCAAAGCTACAACACTATACGAATTTAAGATAATCAAGTTCTGAAAAGACGACCCCGTGTGTAATGGGAAAAGAGGAAGAATATTCTGGCACAAAGAATATGTAAATATTTAAATAGAGTTCTGGGAGTAAGTAAATAAATACAATCTGTCTTCCTCACTCCTGAAGCCTGAAATTCTCCACTTGGATTCATTTGACTTACAAGACCTCGTCTCTTAAAAACGCCAACACCACACCTAACAAGCAGAGGTCACCACGTTTCAGGGTGGGTAATGTTTCCTTCCAGGCCCTGAGACCCAACAATCTGCTGCTGCAGTGAGTCATTCGGTGCTGGGGACATGATGGAAGGTGGCTGACTTTTCCAGGCGCACAGTGCAGTTGCCCAATGCGCCTCTCGCCCTCAGACCCTGGGTCTTGTTTCCTCTGCCTGAAAGGCCAATCCCATCACTCCTTTGCTGACCACCTCCTAAGCCTCAGGATTCTGCTAAGACGTCTTCTCCGGAACACCTTCTCAGCCTCCTCAGGCTGAGCTGGGTGCTTCATTCATGTCTCCAGGGCACCCTGAGCTCACATCCATCTGAGCACTTACCGTACTCGATTAGTAACTGGCTGTTTATTCTGAGTCTCTCCTGGAGTGTGATCCAGCATCTCCTCCAAGACGTCTGGCACACAGCAGACGCTTAACCTACTTGAGGAAGGGAGAAGGGAAGAACGGCAGAGGGAGATTAAGCAAGAACTGACAGAAAGAAAAAGCGTGTACCAAAGACCTCTCTGTTTCACTTGGTAACGTTCTGACTGAGGTAATGTTTTCTATTAGCTGTTTCCTACAAAAGAAGTAAAAATAAAAGTAAGCCCAACTAGTTACCCTAGATTTAGATGCTTCCATTGGTAAGTATGTTCTAGTTATTTGCTCTCTTATTTCCACATCAGATTATAATCTCTTTACTCTTTAGATTTCCTGCTCCTACCTTGTCTTTCCTTACTTTCCTTCCTTATTTTCCCTTTGTTCAAAGGAAAAAATACAACTCTTTATTTTTGTTCTCAATTTCTTAATTTTATTTTAATGTTCATTACTGGACTTAAATGTCTAGCTTTCATTCTTTCATCCACTTCCATGGATATAACTTATTCTCTTACTATTTCCACACTGTCTTTTAAATCTAACATCTTATTTCTTTTCATTACTTATCTTCACTGTTTGTTTAGTCTTGTTGAAAATGTTTTATTTTACTCTTCTTTTTCTCTTAATTTTCTGTTAACTTATTTGTAAATTTCAATTTTTTCTCTTTACCTTGTATCTACTTTA